TAAGGTGCAGCTCCAGTTCTCAAATGGGTTACCTATGTAGGGGAGCTAACAATATTTTATGAAAGCAGAATGGTGTAAGTACCTTAAGAATAACTGAGGAAAGGGACACCTGGGTGGCTCAGTGGTTGAGCGTCTTTCTTTGGCTCAGGTCGTGAACCCGGGGTCCTGGGATTGAGTCACGCTTCTGGCTCCTTTTGGGAGCCTGCTTCTTCCTCTGAGTAAGTCTTTGCCTCTCTCTTTGTGTCTCTCATGAATAAGTATTTAAAATGTAAAAAAAAAAAAAAAAAAAAAAAGAGTAAGTGAGGAAATTAACACTTGCTGGATTCCTACTTGGGCTAGTGTATGTCACAGAGTGGCCCAAGTAAGGATCCAGCAAATGTTAATTTTCCAAAGTATATGGGATATATTGTTTAAATGGGTGGAAAAATGGAGAATCAGAAAGGCACTCTTTCCATTACACTGAAAGAAGCCCCAAGAAAGGAAAGATGATTTTTTTGGTGAGGGGATGGGATATTTGTGTGTGTGTGTGTGTGTGTGTTATGGAATCATTTTGGGAAGGTTCTATAGCAGGTAATAGGAGAGAGGGGAGGGGGGGAACAGTGAGCCACCTAGTAAAAGTAGCCAGGATGGATGGGGCATGGCAAGGTGTCCACCTGGGTTAGAAGAAATCTGAAATATATGAAAATGTAAGTGGTGCCCTTAAATGTCATGGTATTGCATTGGCACTAATTTGTGTCACTTTGGGCTTTTAAATATAGGTATGATCTAATTAAGGCTTTGCTGGAGGTGAGGTGGAACGGACCTGAAGGCAGGAAGCCAGAGTTTCAGAGCTACAGGATGGGGAGGGATGTGGTAGTAGAAGCCCTGCAGGAGGCTTGAAATGACTATGCAGGAGCTTGGGAAAGAAGAGATACGTCCGAGGGCAGGGCGCAGTAGAGATATTTAAGCCAGAAGGACCAAAAACTGTATTGACTGCAACAAAACAAAGTTATAAAATGTCATTTTCCTCTAATTTCCAGACAGCTCCTCACTCAGATCAAAACATGTTGTTTACCATGTAATCACATAACATCACCAGCTGTTTGCATTCCTCGTAAGTTTTTTTACATGGCTTTCTCGAACTCAAACAGGAGCATTCCCTTGCTGAACATTATTGCCAAAATATGACACGTGGAAAAAAATGGGCATTGAAACCTAACAATACAGGTCCACTTCTGGCCCTAGGAAAAATCAAGACTATATTTTAAGATTTACTTAAAGGTCTGGAAATCACTTTTATTTTCATTTTGATTCAACTCTAATCTTTCAACACAGCTTTTACTTCTGAAAACGGACTGAATTTCCCCCATCCCCGCCTGAAATTACATTAGTGTTAAATCATCCATGCAATCTTTGGCATCCCTAATCCAAAGGCTTAACAACTTTAAATATACACAGATATTGAAGAGAGTCTTTACCTTAGAGAAATCAGGGTGTGGTACAGATAATACTCTAAATACTATCATTGATATTATTTTTTAATATTAATAAAAATATCAATATCATTGATATTAATCAATGATTAATTGATTGATATTAATATCATTGATTAATATCATTGATATTAATTTTTCAGAATATTACCACCGCTGAAGTATAAAGTAGGAAGATCTGACAAAAAGTGTACAGGTAGGTCACATTTATTTTTACATGAACAAATCTCTAGTTGTAAGCCCTAACTTATTTACTATCAAATGAGGTGTATTATCTGCTTTGGGGGTGCTGGCGTATGTTCTCTTTTCTGGAACAAGATGTTAGGTAAAAGAATAGCAAGTTCTAAGAAACTCAGAATACCAACCTCTATCCACCTTGTTAATCCATTCATCTTTTGGTATTTGCAGTAATGAAGACTAAGTAGAAGTACACGAATTTAGGAAAATGAGTCATCCTTGACCCAAATTATCTTGCTTTTAAACAGAATCCCATAAAGGATGGGATTTGAAAGATACTTTCACCACTGGAATTTTATGATTTTGTAATTTCAAAACATTCTTTTATACAGAATTACACATTCCTGGTAGAATAGCTTTTGCCATGCTTACATTTTCTGACTTTTAATATCCCCGCACACACATGGCAGTGGGATATAAAGGGCAAAATGTAAAGATCTGCACGTATTTTTGCTAGGGTATGTGCATATTTTCCTACCTTCTCCCCTTCTGTTCATACCTTACATGGTTTAACCCTAAGCTCTATACAGGGAATGAATTATATGAACTGAATTGGAAATGTGTGTCTGTACATAAATCTATGTACAGATACACAACTTACTCCAGTATCCTAACTCCCAAGGACAACCACCTTCCTTACTCTTTGGTTTTGCTCTTCCCCATCCATCCTTAGCTCAGACGATGAAGTTGATTCTGCCTTCTAAACCTGTATCTTCCTTCTTTCTTCCTTTCCCCAGAGATCCAGGGAATCGCTTTAATGGAACATTTCTATTCTTTCTTATCTGTCAACAATTAAAAAAAAAAATCTGCGAGTATTCCCCCCCCCCCTAATATTTGATGTACTCTCCTTTTGGCCACATGACCCAGATTCTGGAATACTAACTTTGACCTTCCCCTAATTTCCTTATCTCCCTGGAATGGAGTCTTGTACTTTTTCTATCTCTATCATCCTATTAACATGCCCGTGGCTGTTGCCAAAGGAAGGGAGTGCAGCTTGGAATGCTTTTCCACGTGCAGAAAAGCACTTGCTTCAGAACCTATTTATGGCCAGTCCGCCACTCAGCTCTGAGAAAGAGCTGTTAGTACCAGAACCGCCACGATGACATAATTCCTTACAGCATCCTTCGCTCTTCCAGTTAAACTCCCTGCCCCACCTAGAGGGAAACTTCACAGTGCTTCTAGTAGAGGCAAGCTTTTCGTTTAAATGCTGCCCGTCTGTGGATACCCCACCGTTTTCTCAAACATGTCTTTTCCTGTTGCATCCAGAGGTAGAGCGGCGGGCGTACAGGGCTGCTTACCCAGGTCGGGCCGGGGGTGGGGTCCTGAGCTGCCTCCCCTCCGGCGGGCCCCCGCCCTGCGACCGCCCCTCCACCTGCAGGTCCCGTGCGCCTTCGGGGATCCGGATTCCTGCCGCACCCACGTCTCCAGATGCGGGGGCATCCCTCGCCTTCCTGCTCGCACAGCTTTCGTCTCCTGAGATGACTTTGCTTAAGGAGTGGTCTACAATTTTCAGACGCTTGTCACAGTTATCCCATTTGTTCTTGGGAACCACGGGAACAGGACAGAACCCCCCCCCCCCCCGCGCCGCTCACTCCCGCTTTAGGGCGAAGAGGCAGGCCCAGGGACTCCGCCCGCGAGGACCAGACGCGGGCTGCGGGCCAGGCGGGCCCACCTTTCCCATCATCCGTCACGTGCAGGGGGTGGCAGGTGGCGGGGACCGCACCGGGCAGGGCGCCGCCTTTGTTTCCATTAACAACGCACGCCGCGCCGGGCCTTTAGAACTGTTTGGAAAATGCCACGCAAAAACGTGCAACACGGCTCCTCCGGGCTGGAAGTCGTTCCCTCGCTCTCATTTCCTGTTTCTCGGCCTCTCCCCTGTTCCCCTTCCCGCTCCACTGGGTGCCCCATCACTGCGCATCTCGCCCTCCGCACAGAAACTTCCCCCTGGCAGCAGCCTCCCCGCGGCCCGGGCGGGCTCCGCGCGGGGCGGGGCGGGGCGGGGCCGGGAGCCCGAGCGCGCTCACCTAGCCCAGCGAGAGAGCGGCGCCCGCATCCCCGCCGCGCCCCGCCCGGCCGCCCGCCCCCGCCCGCGCTCCTCCCCGCCCCCGCCCCCGCGGACCCCGCGAGCCGCGGCGGGAACCGGCGCCCCGCCGCTGCCTCCCGCCAAACGCCTCCCGCCCCAGGATCCCGAGGATCCGCTCCCCCGGGCGCCGGCGGGGGCGGGCGGGGGCGGGGCTGCCGGCCGGGACCGAGCCTCCCCCCGGGGGCGCCGCGGGGCCTCGGCGGGGCGTCTGCAGCTGCAGCCTCCGCCCGCTCCCGCTCCCGCTCCCGCAAGTTCGCCCGCTTGCCCGACCCACGCGCGCGGCCCGGCGTCCCCGGCGAGGCGTGCGCCCGCCCCCGCCCCCACCCATCCCAAGGTGAAGCGCCGCGAGGGAGGGTGCCCCCGCTTCCCCCGCAAAGGGCGCCGCCCCCCTACCCCGCTCCCGGCCCCGCTCCCGTCCCCGCCCAGCCCCGGGGGCGCCGCCCGCCCGCGCTGCCCCTGCCCGCCCGGACCCCATTGTTGCCCGACTCGGGCGATGCCCGGGCCCGGGGGCGGTCCCCGGGAGCCCCGCCGGCCGCCGCAGCCGGCTCCGCCCACACCTTTCCAAGTTCGCCGGCGGGTGAGCCGCGGGGCCGGCTCGGGCGCCCGGCCCCCTCCGCGCCCGGCCCCCTCCGCGCACGCCCCCACCCGGGCCGGGCCGGGCCGGGCTGGCCGGGAGGGCGCGGGGAGGGCGCGGGGAGGGCGCGGGGCGGGGGCCAAGAGGGGGGCGGGGGCCGCGCGGGCTGCGCGCTGGCCTCGCCTCCGAGTCCTCCGCGAGAGGCTGCCTCGCGCGCTCCGACACAAAAGAGGGGACTTTCTCGCGGCTCAGCGAGAGTCCTCGCCGGGCGAGGCGCGATCCGGGGGGCTCCTCCCGCCGCGAGGCCCCGCGGGCCCGCTCGGCCGGCGGCTCCCGAAGCTCGGGCCGCCATGTGTGGGTTATTTCGGGCGCCGCAGCGAGGTGGTGCAGGTGGAAGGGAAGCTCGGCCGAGGCCGGAGGCCGGGGGGCGGGGGCAGGGGTGGGGCGGGGTGGGGCGGGGTGGAGGCTCCGCGGACCCACCCCCCAGCCCGGCGGCGGCCCGGGCGGCGAGGCGAGGGCCGGGCGGTGGGTGTTGCCTTCTACCTCTGCGAGCGGGGAGGGGTTAGTTTCCCACCGGGGATTTCAACCATCACACTCAGAGCCCGCCTCCTAATCCTCGGGCGGAGCGGCTCGGGGGCCCCGTTTTATGGCAATAAAGCGACTTAGCGCCTGCTGAGCGAGCCCCTCCCCGCCGCCGCCCCCGCCCTCGGCCCCACCCCGGGGCTCGCCCGCAGCGGCGGGGCTTTGTTTCTGGGGAGGAGGACCCGGAGCTCTTTTGTTTGGGGGTTTGGTGTTTTCACCCCCCCCGCACCTCACCTCACCCCACCCCACCCCACCCCGCCCCGCCCCCCGCGCCTCTCCGGTTTCCGGAGCCGCGGGCTGCAAGGGAGGAGAAGCGGCGTCTTGCAACCCCCTCGGCTGGGCCCCGGGGTAATTCGATGCGGGCCTGGCGAGGCTCCCCACGCTAGACCGGGGCTCGCGTCTCGGCAGCCTCCACCCACCGGCCCACCCTGCATTTAGCGCATCATGTGATCCGGGTAAGTCATTTGCAAGTACAACAGTTCCCTGGGTTGCCCCCCATTCATTTCCTGAGAACTGCAGAGAGCAGCTGAGAGGCTCTGCGTGTGCGTGTGCGAGTGCGCGAGTGAGTGTGCGCGGGTGACGCCGTGTGAGTGTGTGTGTGTGTGTGTGCGAGAGTGAGTGTGCGCGCGCGTGTGTGCGAGAGAGAGAAAGGGAGAGGGAGAGGGAGAGGGAGAGAGAGAGAGAGGGGGACTCTGTGTGAGGGAAAGAAAACAATTTCTCCTGCTCTGCAGCTTCTGTTCAGGTCTGTGCTGATTCCGTTTCTTATCAAAATAAACAACCCCCTCCTTTTTTTTTTTTTTTGCCATCCCAAATCAGACCGTATTCTCTTAACATGTTTTATTTTCCTTCTGTCATCTGCTCAAGTTAAATCATTTTGGTTGGTCTGTGCTCTTAAAGGGGGAAAGTGTTGGGAAGCGGGAGGGGGCCGAGGGAGGGCGATGCTATTGCAAAAGCAAGTAGCGTCGGTCGGATACGTGGAGAAGAAAGAAGATTTCTCTCCCCTTCCCTCTCCAATTTCTTTCTTTTTTTTTTTTTTTGAACTTAATCAAGTACCATGAATTAAGCCAATGTTTTCTACCCCTAGTGGAATTATTGGTTGCAGTGTTTGCCTGTCAGTTGCCAAGGATGAGAAATGAAGCACCGGGGCTGAATGGGGAGGGGGAGGCGGTGGTGGTTGTGGAAGTAGTTTGCCCCCCCGAATAGAGCGAGTTCGGTGAATAGCTGCCGCCCCGGGGCCGTGTGGGCTGTGGGTGTGCACTGCAAGGAGTGGAAGGGAAGGGGTTAAGGCGGAGATGACACTGCTGGCATGGATAGTGGTCCTGGTGCTACATTCATTATTGTCTCTGGTCGTAATGATGTGTAACTGTCACTTGCTACAGTGCCTGGTCCCTGGAAGTAGCCAGGGGCTGGCCCGCGGCTGTTATTTTCAATTACGGGGAGCCGGCCGGAGTTGACAAGGGGCAACTTTGCACGTCCCCCCCCCCGCCCCCCGCCCCCCGAGCCGGGGAGCCCGCGGACCCGGCCTGCGAGCCACTTCTTTGCCTTACAGAAGCTTCGCTCCCAGGACTCGGACTTGACCTCCGCGACATTAGTTGGTGTTCGTGTTAGATGCTCCCCTACGGGGAGAATCAATCCTGCTTTTGTTGGGCAGAGAACTGCCTATTAGAACTTTGAGAACTTTTATCTTTGGGGAAAAGGGTGGGGTGCACTCAACAGTTCTGTTTCGAAGTGCATTTGAGGCAAACGCTTGGAAAAAGTACCAATTCCTTTGTTATATGCCCTGCAGCTTCCCAGCCCCCTTCACCCTGCGCTTCGAGTTTTGCATACTTTAATAGTAATACCCTTAATTCAGCTGATAAAAACTGACTGTGGAGTTAAAGAGTATTAGTACAACGGAATGTGTAATCTGGATAAACAGTTTGTATGGTTAATATTGTCAGCTCTCTAATTTAACTGTACAGATGGCTTGAGTATGGTTCTGTATGGATTGTTTTAAGCAATTCCACTGGCTAATAGAATTCTCCGCCGAGCAGTCGGATATTTTGTTTTAAATCAGCTTTAATGTTCTCTGTTTCTCAGTGGCACCGGGGAGGTGAGCAGGTCTATTTACATTTACTGCATGTGCATCCAGTGGCTTCAGTAGACATCTGCCAATCAAATAACGTCATTCAGTAAATCCACCTAGACACCTCCAGGCCCTTTTCTTACTGGAGGAGAGAGAGTTGTTTAGATAAGTAAATGCTTCGAAATAAATTTGGTGGCTTTTACCAGGAAGCAGCTTGTGATGGCAATAGGAGTGGTCACTTTGAAGAGTGGGTGTATTCCATCAACCAAGAAACGCTCTTTGGAATTGGCATTTAGTAAAAACAGCGACCCCCCCCCCCCCAAGAGCCTGCTTGTGCTGTTTGTAGACCTCATTCACATGTTGTTTACATTTTTTAGAACCATGTAGAAATTGGTTCTGATAAACGGGTATACTTCCAGGCTAGAAAATGTTTAACTGTGGAAGCTTAGTGTAGACATGGGATGTTGAAGGACAAACATTTCAGTTGCATAAGTTCTATCTCTTGTTGCAACCTGGTCAATGTAAAGACTAGCTGGAGTCTGGTAGGCTTCTTTGGGTTGGGGAGAGAGCAATTAGAGCGCAGAATTATTGGCAGACGTTTATAAGGTATTTAGGAGAGAGGTTTATTATTCTGCCTCGTAACTCATAACTACTGTGAAATATTCTTAAAGCTGGTGAAATTTGGAAGTTTTAAGTTAGGAACTAAAACTGTGCAACTAGTATAGTTGTGCCAGATAAACCGCTTTCTTGAGGGGTTTCTGTTTATTTTTGTGTTGCTTCAGTTATTTATTACTTAGTAATGCATATTTAAAGGAAACTTTGTTCAGATAAACTTTATTTTGGAAGGCTTTGTCTTACTATTTATTGAATGAAAATTGTCGTGCCAGTGAGCCCTCAATATTTTTTTCTCTAGAAAGTTCTTTTTTAGTAACCGAATGTCATTTGGGAGAAAACTGGTCCTGGTGTAGCATTTGAGACCTTGACCTTAGCAACTCTTGGCTGGTGGTTGTTTACTACAGCTGCAGCCTATGTGTGTACAGAAAGGGAAGGGACTGCAAACACTAGTGCGCTCACTCTCCTCAGGCCAAGGGAAAAACAAATCAGGATGCTTGACGTTCATTCATTCCGAAGAGCGTGCATCAGGCATATAATAGCAATGGGGTTCTGGTCAACTTAAAAATATACGTGTTCCTTGGGGATTACTTCCTCACCTCCTGTGAAAAGTAAACAAGCACTTTAAAAGACTGAGTTTTAAATGTTACATCATGAAGCAGGCTGTTACCAGCTTAATGAAATAATTTGGTCTTAAACATAGGTGTTTTTTTTTTCCCCCCCTTTCTGCAAAGAGGACACAAGTGCTTAGGCCTTTAGGCCTACACTGAGGGCATTTTGAACATGAGCCAGCGTTGGTTAATCTAGAGTATTGAGTAACGTTACCAGTGAGGTGATATTGTTAAATAGTTGAACATATAAAGGTCTTGGATGTTTTTACCATTGCAGGAAATGGAAAGTGGGGAATTTCATGTTTATGTGAAATTCATCTGTACGATCACATTAAATTGGGGGTGTTAAATGGTTTTCTTTATATTGTAAGGCAGTCTTCTTAAACTTCATAAACGTAACTGTAGATGATTTGTGTATTAACACAACAGAGTGTTGCATTCTACAGTACTAGCGGCACAAACTCATTTGAAAAGTTAATCTTTTTTTTTTTTTGGATAAGGAAGTCTCTCCACTGGTGCTTCCATGTTGATTAATGAACAAGAGCTAAAAATCCCCCCGACTGAATAGAACGGACCGCCGTGATTATCTTTTTCTTTGTAGAAAGCAACTTTCATTTTTATAAATAACTCCTAAGATAGGTTGCAGTTTACCTTTATCATTTACCTTTTGAAAATACCATATGATAGTAGAGTGGAAATATCTGTATCTCTGCCCTGTGTCCGTTTTATTTTCTGCTTTAAAATTTATATTTATTTTTCAGCTACAAATTATGCACAGCTTTCAATCTTAAGTATGTACAAAATGTGAGGGTAAAAATATTACAATTAAATCACTGGCAACACCCTATAAACCACAGTCTTAACTCATCCACCACAACCACAGCTCCCCAAATCAAAATGCAAGTAAACAGATGGGCCCTGCCCTGTGCCCAGGAGGTCAACAGCCTTAGGCTCTGTGAGATCTGCTGTGTTTCTCCATCCCAAGCCTGTCCAGAGAACTGTCTGACTTCAACAGGCCAGAATTCATTTTCAGGGCCTAGACCAGCCACACCCCATCTGATGTCAGCTTTTGAGTTCTTGTGGTAGAGAACACATGCTGTGGATTAAATGGTTGCTTTCTCTATATATTCTCAGTAATTATGTTACAAAAGGATTTTTCGGTTTTGGGTGTTTATTGTCATAAAAGTGGCTACTTGAGTACTTCTTTTGCTCCATAAAAATTTGTTTTGGTCTGGCAGTAGATTACAGGATATTTACCCAAAGAATTCTGCTCTGGTATGATCTTTCTTCCTGTCTTTTTTTCAATTTAAAGTCCTATTTCTCTTTCGTTGCTAATTTCAAGATATGTATTTTTGAATATTAGCATAACTGAACTGGGCCAAACAGTATTGCTTTTTAGGCCCAGATGGTGTAGCAGAAAGCCCTTGCTGCTGTACTGCTACATGGAAGGTGAGAAAGAATTGGAGGGCTTTGGAATAGTTTTCCCAGTCCCATCAGAGGTAATAGAAACTGCCCCTATTACAACTTACTGGCCTAGACAGCCAGGAATTGTGTTCCCAGGGCTACATTCATCACATTTAGGGTTTTTAGAATATATTTTATGTATATATGTGTGTGAGTGTGTGTGTGTGTGTGTGTGTATAGTTTTTATATTTATGAATGTGAGTTTTTGTATTCCCTGTGTTGGTATATATATACACCCCCCCACACAGCACATACATTAAGACCAAGAATTATGGTAAAAAAAAAAAAAACAAAAAACCCTCCCTCCCTTGTATAAAAAAAAAAAAAAGGGAAAACAAAGTTTTTCTTTTTTTAAATCCTTTTATTTATTTATTTTTAAAGATTTTATTTATTCATGAGAGACACATACACACAGAGAGGCAGAGACATAGGCAGAGAGAGAAGCAGGCTCCATGCAGGGAGCCCGATATGGGAATCGATTCCGGGACTCCAGGATCACACCCTGTGTTTTTTTGTTTTTTTCCAAATCCTGTGTTTAATAATATTATTCTCACTTGGTTTTGAGTTGAGCAAGCAAACTTACAACATGAAAACAGCCCTGCCCCAAAGAAAACAAAACAACAAAACTAAATGACAACCAAGATGAATGATGCTAAAAAATGAAATAACTCTAAAGAAAACATTTATTCATTTCACAATCAGG